ATTTTTATAATTTTGAAATATTTTTTTTAAATTTGAAAATATTTTTGTAATACAAAACGAACTACAGTGATTATTGTTTTGAATTTTTTTTTGTAATTTTCAAAGAAAATTCGTGCACTAATGCATGCTAATTGATTTCACTAAAGGTTTATAGCGTAACTATGTGTAGCAAAGCTTGTACTTACCGTATATAACGGGTTTGTGTATTTTTTTTATCAGATTAGTATGCGAAATTTTATTATGCTTATATTTTAATGGAAAAAATTAAATAATTTAATATTTATGTAATTACAAGTCACACTATGAAATAGGCTACTGCAGTGACTTTGAGCGACGCAAAATATTGTAAATACATACAAGTATCGTACATTAAATATAGTATATATGTACATACAAATACAAATACAGTGAGCAATCAAAATACAAATAACTTAAATTACAAAAATGTCTACAATTCTTTACATATGTATGTATGTGGAGTAAGAGAGCTTACGCTAAAAGTACACAAAATATGCATATTTGAGAGTTACGAACAACACAAAGTGAAATTAAATAACGGTACATTGCAGCAAATTTACTAAATCCATACAAATATACATAAATGTAGCTATAGAAATAACTAAACAATTACGAATAAACAAATGAGAATAATACAAATATTGGGTAGTCGAAAAAGTTTTTTCGTTTTTTGTCAATAGATATCACTCCAGTCGTATATCTCCAGTACTAAAAATCACATCGTACCACACCATATAAAATTGGAAAGGTTTAATCCCTCACCTTCACTTAACCAAAAAAAAAAATTAAATTCGAGAAAGTTGAAAAAAAGTTGCAGCTGTTCAAAAATGAGTGAAAATAATGAAAAAATTCGCTATATTTTAAAATTTTTCTATAAAAAAGGGAAGAATGAAACACAAGCCAGCAATGAAATTTGTGAAGTTTACGGAGACGATACTGTACTACTTTTTCGACTACCTAATACATAAAAGTAGCGAGTACAAATAAATTAATGGACACTTGGTGCGGATTCGGCGAAAATATGCTATTTACAACAAAACAGAATTTCACTAGCACGCCCACACGCACACAAAAGCAAGGCGACGCGAAGAATGTCAAACTTCCTTGCCGGCTGCTAAGTACTTGACTACGCTACAGGCCTTCGTTCGCCTTAAAAGTACTTGATCGGCGGCAAGTGATCGCCGCAACGTGGAAAATTGGGCGGCACCGGCGGCAGATCCTCCTGCGTGCCTATGTGGAACACCAAATTCATGCCGATCGCTACATGAAAGAGAAAATGGCAATGGAAGAGCCAAACGCCCGGGTTGTTGGCACGAAATCGCAGCACAGTGTAACCGTTATTCGGCACAGCGATTGTGTCCTTCAGTGTTGGTTTGGTGAAATCACGCTCCAGCATGCCCAAGCGATCCAAATCCAAGGCGTGTTTTAAGTTGATCTTTTTAATTGCCTTGTCCGGTGAACGTCCCAAGCCGACGACGTAAAACGGTGAGCCATGCAAGTGAAATGGATGACTCAGATTGGTTTGTTGCACTTCGTCGACGAGCACGACTTCCACTACAGCGCCAAGTGGTATGTCGACTTTGTGTACGCACTGGCAATTGTTGTCGCAATTCACCGGTCGGTTGTCACCATTGCAGAAGAGTTCCGGCGGCACATCGCTCAGCTGTGAGAGTATTGGTGATGGCGGTGAGATGTAGGAGATTTCATCGATCAGTGATGTTAGGTGATCACCGCTGGGTGCAACTGTAATTTACATAGTAGGAATTTGGTTTGTTTGGTTGCAATGTTAAATATGGTTAGTAACTTTGGGTCGGGTGCTAACGGTTGGGATGGGTTTTTCTTATTTATAGCCTTTGATTTGATTTTATGATGTTTCGAAAAGAGATCGGTAAACTGTGGGTTTAAGTCTTGGATAATACTGCTTGGAAAAATATTTGAAAATTTCGAGTGGCTCTGATATCACCACATCAACTGAGGCTTGAGGAGGCGGCTTACACCTGGCAGACACCTGCATTTGACTGAATGATATCAACATATTGGAGGGTAAATCAGGCCAAATCTATAAGTTAAAGTGAGAAATTAGAAACTCTCGCTATAAAATAAATTATAATAATAAAAATAAAAAATATTTAGTTTTAAAGAGTTACAATTGTTAATGGAAAAAAACTTCTTTATTATCTGATTTTCTTTATTCTTCTGATCTTCTTTATTGTCTTATTAAATTCAGCAACATATCTGGAATATTATCCTACATTTTCAAGTAGATCCGAGTAATAATTTCGGAGATACAGCCTTGAAAACTTATGCTCTCGAGGCTAGCTTGTCTAATCGCGCCATCTTTAAACGCGTTTTTTTCAAAACTGTGTTTTTGAGGTCGGTTGGAAAGGTTTCCAGAGAAGGTTTACCCGAGAAACCACATGCAACTCCTCAAACGTATACGATAAGCTTTGAGAAGTCTAAAAATAGATAACTATAATATTTTTTTTTTCTCACTCTTACCTAACCTCAACTGAAGATGATGCATTGTATGGGTTGTAAAAGCAATTAAAGGAGATGTGGGTCAGTTTCATACTGAGATTTCAATATACAGTCTTACATTACCTGTTAAGGGATAAAATCTCATATAGCTGATAATTTATCTTAAGATACCTGTTAAATAATGATATCACAGAAAAATGACCGCCTAAGTCGCAAAAATTTGTTGTTTTAATATGAGCACACGCTGGACCAGGATTTGTAACATATGGACCTAAAATATCATCCTTCTTCAGATCTAAAAAATGTTGAGAGGGAACAGGCTTTGAGAAAGATAATACTTGAAATGGCTCAAAGCTTCCTACTTTGAAGGAAGTATGGAAACTATTGGATCGTATGGCTAAGGACTATGTACAGAAATAGTTAAAAAAAATTCTGAGAAAAAGAGCGTATTTAACTATTTATTATACTGTCAAGTAATTTATCGATTTAAATCGATAAAAATTCTTCATGCAAAAGCTCAAATGCTACTACATATGGTACATGTATTGTATATGATGAAATATTAAGCAAAATAAAGCTATTTTTGTTCAAAACCTATATATATATAATAAGTAAAATAATCAAAATTACATTTGTGTGGAAGAATTCTCTAAAATTTTGAGTATAAATAATACATACATAGATATGTATATTGGGTGCAATTAAAGTTTGGCTCACAAAAATGGAACGCAAAAAGTAGGATGCAATATATTTTAATATTTAATTATGTACTATTTTAAAAAAATTTTGATTATAATAAATATTGAGTATAGATTTACTACAATAATGCTTTTGAATAACGTTTTTCTAAATCATTTTGTTCCTCGTAAAAATTTATGAGCTAAGCATATTTATATGCACTAAATGCGATCAAAAGTAAATATTTAATACAAACGATGTGGAACACGAAAATCAAGCGCTCGTGTCTACCATATATAGGCACGAGTACACGTGAGTCATTCGTGCGCAAAGCTTTTTTAACGAAAACATGCAGAAAATTGTTATTAATTAAGAGCATTGCTACTTTTTACAATACACAGTTGTTTGTGTGTGAGATAAGGACATCCACAACTTACCTAAATAACGGTTGTAAGTATTGGCAATAAAGAGATTCTTCACATCGTAAACGAAGAAACGGAAAGGCAAGAAAATTTTCACATCAGGACGTTCCACGAGTACACCTTTGTCCACAGCTTTGGCATTTTTCAAATTCGAAACACAAACAGCATCGTTGCGTTTCCGATTGCAGATGGCATCTAAGGGGTTCATAACCTGTTTGCGAGTTGGAGAGAGAAAGAGAGTGAAGTGAGTGTGTGGTTGAACGAAGAGATGAGAGACAGAGATTGAGCGAGACGTGAATATTAAAATTAGTGGTTTAACGGCTGGCTGCTGAGCTTTCGCTTATAATTGAAAGCTTTTATTGCTCGCTTTATTTTAAATCTTTAAATAATATTTATTTTAACTGCAAATTATTGTTATTATTATATTGAGATTCAGCGAGGTATATTAAAATTTTTGGTTTAACGGCTGTCTGCTGAGCTTTCGCTTATAATTGAAAGCTTCCTGTTTTCCATTCCTGTTTTATTTTAAATATTTCAAAAATATTTAAGTTGACTGCAAATTATTGTTATTATTATATATTTTTCTTATAATATATGTATATATTTCTTAATGTTATCCCTTTTTAACTGTATATAAAAGACAGTTTTGAAAATCTTTTTGATAATATATAAAATTCTTCATTTCATATATCTATATATATGTGTGTACATATATTTTGTGTATTAAAAACGCTTTTTGGTGAGCTTTTATTGCTCGAAAGCTTTTTTCACATACTTTTTCTTGGAATTGAGCTATATTTGTAAAAAGCCTTTTTGGTAAGCTTTTACTGCCCAAAAGCTTTCAAAAGCTTTTGTAGCATTTTTTCTTGGAATTGAGCTATATTTTTCTAATGTATACTAACCTTTAGTGATATTTGTATTATCATTTCAACTTCCTCTCGTCGTAGGTGCTTGATGACTTAAATTTACATGGGTTATATGCATAATTTAATATATTTACAAATATTATATACAAGTAAATATTATTAAAAACTCGTTTCACACTTACAGCGAGTTGAAATAGTCATAAAGTGCAGGGAAAAGCTGTGCTTAGGTAAAAAAAGTAATATTTAAATTAAGAAAATAATATTTATTTATTAAGTTATTTATTTTACAAATATTTTCATTACAATTTTTTATGTATTTTAAAAAATTTAACTTTTTTTCCTTTTATATAAAATTTTTAGGATATTTATTTGAAAAACTTGCCGCGTTGCGTTTGAGTCATTGTTTCGTTCCTTTGTTGTTGTGTTTTTTTTTTGAGTATTTACATTTAATTTTCGTTTTCTTGGCGATAGTAGCGGGTGCAGCGTTGCTTTCAGTTAAGCAGCGCTACATCCACATACCGTCGATGTAAATATGTAAACGTGTCTATAGTTATTTGGTTATTATGCTTTTTGTTGTGTATGTATATATGTATGTGTATATGTAAGTGTGTAAGTATATGGTATACTTATTTCTTGACACATATGCATAGTAGTAGTATTTACAACGGTTTATGTGCATATATTTAATACTAGATACTGTCATATGTACATATGTATGTTTGTGTTATTGTTGCAGATTTATTGGTGCCATTGTTTTTGGGGTAACTTATATACGTACATACAAAACTAGCATGAAATTGAAATTCGAAGCGTCAGCAGATATGTACTTATGTGCATACAGACGTTCATATAAAGTTTCGCTATCAGTTTCAAGCCTAATTTTCGTTTAACTACACACACTTGCTAACAAAAACATAAGTTGTTGTTTTTTTATAACTACAAGTTACACATACATATAGACAATTCTGTATATATGTACATATGTATATCGTTTTACATAGTCTACTAGTCGCTATAATTATTACACAAAAAAAAAACAAAAAACAAAAAAACAAAACCAAATTGAAACAAAAACAAATTAAAGGCAAGTGTGTACCTAGAGATGGTCGCAAGAAATTTTCGTTTTGCAGAAATAGGAGGAACTAACAAATACAAATAAGAAGAATGAAGCCACTTAATTATTTTACAGTCATATTTTTAGCTTAAAAATTATAAACTAAGTCAAATGGAAATGGAAATACAATACACAAAGTAGAAGAAGTAGATAGAAACAAAAGAAAATCAATAAAATTATTATATATGTATATCGTATAGGTGTTGTTGTTTTATTTTTTATTTATGACTGCTGCTCACAAACGACGACGCGTTCGCTGGAATCGCTTCCTTCTCGGCTCGCCTACGGAATTAATGTTCGCGTTCGCTCCACTCTGTAAACACCCACTCAAGATCGCTTTAACCTCGCCACTCGTGTGCCATTCCTCTCTGAAGTGTGCATGTGTGTCGTGTGCTCATTCACGCATATACATTTACATACATATGCATGTAAATGCAAAGTCTTATGTTGGGAAAGCTTGCGCATTCGTAAAGCTCAAAAAGCACAAAATTTGGTTGGTTTGTCTTTTGTTAGACGGAATATCATTTAGAAACGCTGTTAGTTTTTGTTTTGTGCTTTATGCTCAGCCATTTTGTGTTATTGTTGTTTGTGCCATTTTGCTCTTTTGAGCCATAGTTGGGAGCTTTCACTTTCACGCTTTTTATTTTGAATCACGTGCTTTTGAAATAATTCTTTTCATTGGTAAAGATTTTCAGCCAATTTTGTGGGATTTTTTTTTTAATCGGAATTCTGTGCTCTTTTCGCTTTACGCTTCGTGGCTGTTTTTATTTGTACAAAGCACATATTTTTTTATTACAATATTATAAAGTATCATCTTTTGTGGCTTGTTTATATTAATATTTTTTTACTAAATTTTATTTTCTTTCACTTTCTATACACTGGATGAAGTCTAGAAAGAATTTGGCACCATTTAGGTTATGTTATGCTTAATTAATGGGAATGGGTGGCTTGTGATCACCACACTTGGGGAAGCCTGGTGGCACTGGTGGCAAATCGGCGTTCGTGCCGACCTGCAAAACGAGATTCATGCCGATCGTTATGTGGAAGAGGAAGTGACAATGGAAGAACCAGAAACCTGTGTGCGGGTAAAGCGAAATATGAAATTTATTTAATAACATTGCGTTTTCTAAAAGCTTATTTCTAAAACCTGTCCTTCAACTAACCGGGATTATCGGCTCTGAAGCGCAATACAACATAACCATTATTTGGCACTGGAATTGTGTCCTTTTGTGGTGGCAAATTGTATTGACGGTGCAGCAGACCTCGTCGATCCAAGTCTAGGGCGTGTTTCAAGTTAATCTTCTTAACGCTGGTGTCCGGCGAGCGTCCAATACCAATGACACTGTAAGTGTAGCCGTGCAAATGGAATGGATGTGATAAGTTGGGTTGTTGAACTGTGAAGAGAGTGAGAGAGTTAAATTTATTATACTGTCAAGGAATATTATTTAAAATTATAACACAAGCTTTAAAGGAAAATAAGAGATTAATAGAGATAGAGAGAGAATAAGCAGAGTATGTTAAAATTAGCGCTTTCATCTTAATGTATGACTACTCCTCATGGGCCTAGTAAATGCGCTCCATCTGGTATCGGAAAGAAACAAAACTTTCGAATCTTGAAGTTGAAATTAATTCTTATTCGACTGGAGAGGAGTTCATCAATTACCATAATAGCCGGTTCTACGTTACCAGAATTGACCCGGATTTTAAACGGCCAAAGGCTGCACTTTCGGAGATCTAACCCCGTTTAGATCGGCTAGAAGAGTACATTTGTTTCTGACCCAAAGAATGCGTGCCACGCTATGTAAATATTCCATCGGTGTCATCAAGTGGTACACTGTAATCGTTCGGAGTGCAGTGTTTTGATACGTCTGAAGTTTCTTCGTCCGCGATTCACTACATTCAGGCTACCATATCGGTGAGGCGTAGTTTATGAACGATTGCCTTGTATGTTGCCAACAATGTTTCTTTGCGGTTCTCAAGTGGATTATTTTCATTAATTGTTTAGATGAGAGCAGTGACAACGATGGGAGAGATGGGTTCTGGATTATTTCAGAGACAGTTCAGGCAAAAAATGTGTAGGCTTTTACACATGAAAAATTATAATACGATAGAAATTGTTAGAATGGAGTCACTCAAGGTATTGAAAAGGTTATCAGCTGGATATTTCGATTGAAGATATCAAAATTCGTCGAGACTTCTCCTTGTTAGGAATAATAAGTGGAAAAGCACTTTAATTTTGGTCTTAAATTAGAGAAAAACACAACTGGCATGCTATAGGGGCTCTTTATGATAATTGGTCCTCAGAAATATTTATTCAAATTATGTTGGAATGGAGAGTTTCGACAGTTCTTTAATGATTGGCATGGCAATTTAGAGTGACTGTCAGATTTTCGTTAAGAAAAGATAAAAATGACAGTTATATCTGCATCGGTGAGAATTTTAAATCGAAATGAGATGAATTTAACACGATCCTGTTTTCCTGTGAGAACGCACGCTAAACTTATTAGAGCGTTGATTTAGCCTTAATGTAATACGTTAGCTTCAAAACGTATTTAAAGCGAACCACTGCACAAGCCTAACTACAAAATTAGTGAGTGTTTTTGTACGCTGCATTAGTATCGGAAATGCCCGAAGGCGTTGCAGTTTGCGAACGCGCGCGCTTTGTCTTTATCGCATACGATCATTTTAAATTTGTTCCTTTTCTTTATGTTTTGTTTTTGTGCCACACAAACACAATTTTCTCACAATTTCCAATTCACCAATCCGATTTGCTGATTTTATAATTTTACCATAAACGTTAATTTGCGCTGAATTTAAAATGTTGGCTCGTGGGTGCCGCGCTTGCTGAATCACAAATTATATGTACACACATTTTTATAAGTATACATATAGTTAGTAGTAAATTTTATTTTATATTTCTGCAATCTACGCGCCTGCGCTGCTTTGCGATTGTTTTGTATCCGGTTGGGAGGCACCTGGCATGGCCGCCAGGCATTGCGCTGCTGCTTATCATGACAATCGACTTTTAACGGAAAATTCGTAGCTATGTATTAACCGTAATAATGTTATTTAGACGAGAAAAATCAAACGATTCAGGGGAGATAAAAAGTAATAACCACGATTGGTTGGCAAATGGAGGCTATGCAAAATTTCGAATTTCGATTTCGATACGGATGGTGTGTTGTTGGCTGTGCAAGTTATGATATTTGTTTGTTATTATGTGTACCATATACATATGTATATACATTTACATTTGAAATTTAGTTTTTATTATTTTAAATGAAATAAGCCACCTTAATTTAAGTTTTCAAATGCAATTTACTTTCATAATGAAAGAAAAACTCACCTTCATCAACCATCACAATTTCCACGATCGCATTCAGCGGTATATCGATTTTGTGCGTGCACATGCAATTGGGGCCACAATTTGCCGGACGATTATCACCGTTACAAAACTGTTCGGGATTGATTTCATGGAACTGCGAAGTGAGTGGCGCTGGTGGTGACAAATACGAGATCTCGTCGATCAGTGAGATGACGTGATCACCAGAGGGCGCAACTGCAATGGAAAGAGACAAATAGAGCGATCCAGTCAAACGTTGTAAGAAAACTTGAAGAAACTCACCCAAATAACGATTGTAAGTGTTGGGCTGGAACAGTTCTTCTGGACGATAAACGTAGAAGCGGAATGGCAAGAAAATCTTCACATCCGGTTTCTCCGCCAAGAGACCACGATCGCTTTCCAAAGCACTCTTCAACTGATTCACACACACAGCATCATTTCTAGGCGCATTACATTGTGCGTCCAGCGGATTCATGACCTTTTTTTTTGTTTGTAACGACGTAGTGCGACGTTTGTGAGTTTCGCATTTTCAATTATTTATACAGTTTTATAGCATAAGCATTGTGGCGTGCAATTATTTACAAATGTTTGTGCCATAATATTTTTAATTTTTTTGTAAAATAATTTGAGGTTTTTTTGGCAGCGGTTTGGTTTTTATATACAGAATTTCACATCAAATCGTGTTTTTGTTGTTGCATTTTGAATTTTGATATTTGTTGCCGAAAAGTTTTGCAATTGCGCGATTTTGGATGTGAAGTCAGAGAGCAGTTCGGGTTTTTTTTGTACAAATTATGGCAGTTTTTGGTGATTGGGGTTGTGGTTGATTTGTTGGTATTCAATTGGTTGGTGGCAATGAAAAAAAATTGTAAAAGAGAAATTGATTAGCAACATACATATACAGCTTGGGGATAATAATGAAATGGGTATATTTTTGTAATATTTATATAACACCTATCGTCACCTAAAATGCAAAATAACGTAACATCACTTTAGATGCGTTTACAAGTGAAGGAAAAACGGCAAATTAAAAACCATTCATATTGTACAAACTTTGAGTTTTGGTTATAAAGTGGTTATGTATATGTTATATATTGGTTATATCTGACAGCGCAAGCTGAAAATTTTATGCTAGTTAGATGTAATACCATGCAGTATATGTTAAGCAATAAAAAACTAAATTTTTAATTTTTTTATGATACGTTGTTTTACATTTTAGGTGATGATATTACATAAAGGAATAATTTTGGAACTCATAATTCATTTTCCAGCTGACTCAATTTTATAATGAATTCTTTATATTACTTTGGATATACATTTTTTATTCAAATTCTCTAATCTCTTTAAACGGAAATTGTTTCGAGTCAAAATAAATTTTAGACTTTGTAGTTCTAAAGTATCCAAAAGCATCATATAAACTATCAGGTGTGATACATTTTTTGAGCTTCATCAGAATTCATTACAAAATTGATTGACCAGAAAATAAAAATTCCTGCACAACCTACAGTAAAGGTATAATTCAAACATAAATGTATGTATAGTATATATAACGGTATTTACAATGATCTATACAAAGCGCACCTGCGCTTCCATAAGCCAAAATTATAATATGACTATATAAGATTTATATATGTGTGTTCAAGTATATAATGTATTATATGAGCTAGTTGCCATATAGTTATAACTGTAAATATGCATTTGGCATTTGGGTCTGCAATAAAAGCCATTGCAAATGCCACATTTTTCACAATTGCATTCTGCATTCTGTACAAATTTGTTGTTTCGCTGCATGCATATCTATTTGTTTTTGTATTTTTTTACGATATTTGTTTAAATAAATATTATTTAATTTATTTCTAGCAACTCACGTTTTCTCTGTGTGATTGCGAGCACAAATTGGTGCATGATCTTATGCACTTCTATCGAGCCAATGAGCGGTATTAACGGGTAGATTGTTGTGAGCGGTAAGTGGTTGGGGGTAAGTGATGGGTTGGTAAGTGTGGTAAGCGGTTTGGGGAGACTGCTGGTGCTGATGCAACTTAGTCACGCAGTCACCAAGCGTTGGTGGTGCATTGGAATGTGTCTTTGACTTACCGGGCTAACTGGCAGTATGGCGCGTAAACAAAGCATTAGCGGGCGCCATTTTTTGGTACTCAATTTGCTGTCTATTTCTTTTAGTTTTAATGCAATTTATGCTAAATTTTTTACTTTATTTTATTTATTTTTATTAATGTACATATTGCCATGCTGCTGTAGACCATTTGGCCGCCATTTATTTGAAATGGCAAATGCAAAGCTTGGTAGCAATTGTTCTTTAGCATTATTATTTAATACCTTTGTAGTTGATTTGTTTTTGCTGTGAACTTGCAAATTGATTGGCATAAATCAATTATATGCACGTCTGCGGATATGCTATTCACTTAAGAGTTCGGCATTTTCGTTATTCGCAAGTAATCACGGAATCGGATTTTTCAGTTTTTAGTTGTTGTTTGCATTTAGCTGTGAGTGGCTTGCAGACTTTGTATTGTTCTTAATTGATTTATGAACTTGCCATTGTCATTGAACTAATTACTTTAATTGTGTAAATCACCATAAACGAATCTTACGGACTTACGAGGTTTTTTGTTTGGGGATTTTAAGGCAAAAACAACAAAAAAAAAACTATAAATAACAAAAAATTAAATTTTGAAAAACAGCATTTGAATTAAATATTGTACGTAGTCTCAGTTAAGATTAAAACATTTTTTTTTCATAAATCTTACTTTTTCATAGTTTAAACATAACCTACAAACTTGTTGCAACTCAGTTTTCTACATAAAAACACAATACTATGGCATGTTTATTATTTTTCTATAAATACTAGAAAATTGCAAAAAAAAAATATATATATTTGCGCTCAGTTATTGTCTCCTAAATTTCCAAGAATTGCGGGTCTATGCAACTAGAGTAGTAGAATTATATCGGCTGTCATTACAGCGAAACTAAAACAACCTTGGAGTAAATGCAGTTGTTTTATTGTTTCTAATCAAGCAAGATTCAAAACCTTTAAGACAAGTTCTGTTGTTGAAATATGGTAGTCGAAAAAGTCTCTTCGTATTTGTAATCAAATTCCAATTATTTTTTTATTTTTGTAACGAACTTTACTGAACAAAATATATACCATTTTTGTCGACCACTTTTAGCTAGAGAAATTATGCCATCAGTATAAAGCTTTTCTGGTTTCTCCGCGAAAAACTGCGACAAGTAATTTTCACAGGCTTTTCTGGAAGTCAACTTTACTCCATTAAAAAAGTTCTGCCTTGACCGAAACAAATAGTAGTGCGATGGTGCAAGATCAGAGCTATAGGGTGGATGCATCAAAACTTCGCAGCTAAGCTCTCTCAATTTTTTTCGAGTCATCAAATATAAGTGTGGTCTAGTGTGGTGCTGATGGAAGCCAAAGCCCTTTCTGTTGATCAGTTCTGGCCGTTTTTTTTAGATTGCTTGCTTCATTCTCATCAGTTGTTGACAGTAAAATGTAGAATTAATTGTTCGACTAGGCAGCTCATAGCGGATGATTCCTTTCCATTCCAACCAAGCACTCAGCGTAACCTTTCGAGGCGTGATCCCTCACTTTCCGACCATTTGTTGAGTTTCACCACACTTGCGCCATGATCTTTTTCGCACATTATAGTCGTATTTGATCCGTTATTCGTCTCCTGTTACCAATGGCTTCGGAAATGGTTCGATTTCATTTTGTTTCAGCAAAGAATCGTTGATGTTATTTCGGTCCATACAATTTTTCACAGACAATTCATGTGGTACTCAAACATTGAGCGTATTTTTATAGGCAACCTTTTTTAAGTGGTTCAAACCCGTTTGATGATGAATGTTAAGTTTCCTAGCAATGTCATGGATGCTTATGTGACGGCCTTGGTCAATCTTTTTCATAATTTCATCGAAATTTTCAGAACAGAAGCGAGCGAACCATTGTTGTACTACACAAACTGATACAGCATCGTCGCCGTAAACTCCACAAATTTCATTGGTGGCTTGCATGGCATTTTTCCCTTTTTTAGGCAAAAATTTCAAAATATAGCGAATTTCTTCATTATCTCCACACACTTTTCAACAGCTGTAACTTTTTTTCAACTTACCGAATAACATTTTTTTTGGTTGAATGAAGCTTAAAGTCTCACCTTACCAACACTATAGGTATGACTTAATGTGATTGGTAGCACTGAAGATATACGACTGCATACTGAAGATATTGACAAAATACGAAAATACTTTTTCGACTACTCATTATATCAACGATTTAGCAATCTAAAAACCGATTATCATAAATTTAATTCTTTTATAGTACAATTAATAAAATTTTCTGCAAAATTAGTTCCGACCCACATTTGCAATCTAATAGTATCTTTGTCATTTCTTGACTCAAATACCACTATCTATTCACTTTTGTTGTTCAAATTATATTAAACTGTGATCTAACAATTTGCGCCATACAGATTCGTATAGTAAGAATATTATGCTTGTCTTAATTGTACAAAATATTCATTCCAATTCTATTTAATATTTTATTTAATTTTTTTAAATTCGCGCAAAATCACGCAGACCCACTATACTGGACTTAAACTAATATGCAGCATAGATGACGATCAAATTGTAAAAATACATACAAAAATAAAAAAATATACAAAAAAAAAAAAAAATAGTAAAAATTTCATACAATCACTTAGCGCATAAGTATACATATACACACACACACACAAAAAAACACTCAAACACACTCATGCGCTTGTATTAAGTCACGCTGGTTTTTTCTTAAGCGCGCACATAAAAGCGCTCATAACGCCCGCCGCAAATGGGAACAAAAATATGCAAATAAATTGTTAAAGGCTATGCCCTGAATAGCCATTACACTTCTGAAATATTTGTTGTTGTTATAGTTTCTTATGATCTGTCTTTTCGGTTTCTATTTTAGTAGAGCAAGCGGAAAAAAAAAAAAATGAAATGAAAAACTGAAAAGCCATTTACTTACCACACCCTGTGGTATGCCGACATCGTAGGTTGGCGGAGCCGATGCTGGTTGATAGGGGCCGCGCGCATAACGCAAAATGCCCAACTGTTGAGTGCGACGAATGCCACATTCACCCAGACCGCGCACCTGTATCCAGTAAGCGCCGACAGGTTGATTGGCATTGATAATGAAGTCATAGCGTTCGCCTGCAATGCAATTGTGACACAAAAGAAGTGAGGGAGTGAGTGTGCGATATTTGAAAGGTTCATGTTCATATGTTTAAAATTATAAAAATAAAAATGAAATCATAAAAGTATAACAATCTTAAAAAGATGAAAATAATAAAAAAAAAATTATTAAAATAATAAAAAAAAAATTTTAAAGTCCAAACTATATATATTGATGCATAATATATTGTTGAGGAACTAGGAAATGCTAAAAATTACAAGCGTAAAATTTTGAAAAATTTGAAATTAATTAAACGTTTCCAATTCTTTATAACTATAAAAGCCACCATTCAAAAATAAATGGTCTTGTAACTGTTCAATTGACTGTTTTTAATTAATTTATTTATATTTTAATTTAGCTTTTTGTTTTGTAATAATTCGACCCTGATTTTTAAAATTAATTGCCTTGTGAACTTTTAATTGTCACAAATTAACAGCGGTGCATATTGAAACACCCGCTTGGTATTATTGGTATTATTTATGAGCATGTTGGTGCTTTAAACTCGTATAGCCACAGCTACATATGATTGCGCAGCGCTTATGTGGTGTGATCGCCGATCGGTTAGTGTGGTTATTGATTAATGTAATTAGTGGGAAATGCCTATGAAATTAATATTGACAAACCAAAGTAATGAGTCAGCATTAATTCGCAGCACAGCTATTGAATTGCCATTTAATGGCACCTGTTGTTTTACAAAAACAATAAAAATATACAATCTATAATAGTTTTTGGTTTCTCTATTTTTATTGTCCGCTTTGTAGAGTGGTTAGAACGTACCTGGTAGCACATATGAAATGATTTCGATTTTTTTTAGACTAAAAACAAAAGATTTTATTTATTTGATTCGATCTTCTTCAAGCAACGGTAAACTTTCGAGCATATTTGTACCTACAAAAGGGTTCATTTATAGGACTAATTGTCGTTAGCAGGTGACTTTCCACATCTGGAACCCCTCCATCTGGTCAAATTTGACTCGGACTGATCCATTTGAACTCAATTCCATATTTCTAATGTAATTACTCATAAAAAAATGTTGCAAAATAAAACTAGGTTAGGTTAGGTTAGGCTAATCTGGTAGACTAATAAGTCCCGCATAGACCATATTTAGTCCTTTGTGATATCAGACCAGCAGTTCAGTTCCTAGGTCCAAGAGGAGTAGTAATTCTTTAGGATGCCATCGCTTGACTGGAGTTTTAGAGTAGAGTCTCTACGGTCTCACTATTGATAACTCCTCCAGTGTAACATACCGTGGGGACCCCAGATGCTTACATCGTAGTCTCGCCAATGGGGAACAAGTGTACAAGGGATGCTTCATTATTTTCCTAGTGCTCTGCTTTAGACATTTTTTGCAGTCTTCTCGATCTATCAGCACCAAAAAGTGACCAGTTAGTGTTCCCATCATGTTCCTACAGTCTCATTTATCAAGTGCCAATAGATATTGTGTGTACTTGCGATCTAACGTTTTGCAAATGACTTTTGCAGTTTTGTACCCAGGTAGCTCGTTCCATCGGGTTTTGATTTTCCTTAACATGTTTCTGTCGAGATCGTCATATTGATGGGATGGGCATGGGATTTCCAATGTTGATCACGTTTTCGGATTTTAGCCGTACCCAACTCGTAACGAAAAACCAGAATCTTTTGAAAATGTGACAAGAGTAGCTACATTCATCAAACGTATTATAGCGAATTGTGCTCAAAAAACGAGCCGAAAGCGGAAAAACTACGCCAAAGTTGACCAAAAGTTAAGTTGTTGCTCACCGTTTTCTTTACATATCTTGTGTTGTGTGTTCACCATAACTCATTTCACAGTATTAAATGATCAATAAAGAATACTTCTTGTGCGTTTTGTTTTGTGTGTAAACCATTGCATTTGTGAACTGAAAATTCTACGATTTTTCACTACGATAATGCGCCGTAACATTTTCTCAGTGATTTTAGCGCTTGAATTTTTGGCCATAAGAGAGCCCTCACTCAGTCACCGTATTCGCCAGATTTTTGATCATTTTGAATTTAATTGGGCCATTTACAGCCGAGGCTTATGATAAATGTATAGAATATTGGACTAAGCGTTGACATATTTACATTGGTTCAAAAGGATACATTTTCGAAGGCGATAATAACGACTTATATTAAAAAAGGATGAAATGTACATAAATAGCTTTTTGTTAGTACGGGTCAAATATGATCAGATGATGGAATATTATGCATTTCAGAAAGTATTTTTCGATTTTCACAAAATACACAGTAATAAAAGAAGTTTTAATTTGACAGGTCATCGAAATAGATGTACATTTTCCAATGGCATTTTTTTGACAGAACGCGCAATTAAGATTTAAATACTATTAAAATTGTTAATAAATTATACTTTCTTTTGGTCGAATTTCCACCACTAGTGCTCCTCTAGTAATAATAAATACATTATCAAGTATTGGAAAAATTCGCAAACTATGTAATTACTGTTGTAAAACAACTTAAATGTCATGGTACTAATGGACTGCTCTACACAATTAGCACATAATAAACTACTCAGTTGTTAGAATATCTGCAAAAGGGAACCACTACATTGAGATGAAAGCCATGAACAGGGTGTAGCATTACAAATTAGTTCACTGCATTCATGTTGCATTGCTGTAATTACATGTGGCAACGCTAATTGAACTGTATTAATAGCATTGTTCTGTTTAATGTAAAGCAGGTAAAGGTTATTGACTCAAGTTGCCGTTGCAAATTATTTACATACTTGTTGTTTTTTTAGTTTAAGTTTATGTGTAGCATAAAATGATTTACTTGGTGTACAAAAACCAAAACTAAATTAATACAAATTTAATATATATTCAGGGTCTTGTCATTAAGCTAAAGTGGCGGCATTACATTGTTGTAACTGTTCATTATTATTTGCTTTATTAATTATTTTAATTATAATATTGCGACCAGAAGATATTTCAACTTAACGCTTAAGCTTCGTTTATGACTCAATTAAAAAAAATATGAGCTCTTTATTAATAAGTGTAATTAATTTTTGTGTAATTACGTACTGCCAGTACTTGTGGTGGTAAATAGTATTAATGGTATTTTTGAAGTACTCAATTATACAATGGAAAGGCCAAATACACAGATGTGTGCACAATTTGCCAAAGATCAACACATGTTGACTAATTTTTGTGGTAACATTTAGCTCAATGTTTTATAAAATATATTTTGGCTATCCTAAAAGGTAATTCCATTATTTAGCAAGAAAACAATGTGCGACTTTCAATGCAAATCCGGATCAAATGTTTTTAAATTAAGTATGACCGAATTTTATTCAGGAAATGTTATCTATTTTAATCGACTCAGTTTTCGACCGACTATTACTCGCCTAACCGTATATGTAATGAGACAATTATACCAAAAATTATACCAAAAAAAAAAGAAAAAAAATTTTGAATGCGCGTAAAATGCACTGAAACTCAGAAGTTAATTGCCGTTAGCCACTTGGTTATTAGTAATAATAGCTGAGTGCGCCTGTATAAGATTTCCATGAAACGTTTTATAAGTATATATGAGTACATTATGGTGTTATTGTTGTTTTATGGCGCACAATAAAATGCACAATTCATTAAAACCACAGTGGTTGCTGATTATGCGATCCGGTAGAAAATTTGTTTTTGTAATATTTTTGTCGAGAAACATGCTAATTGTATGGTGAGCTGAAATTTTGTATGTGATAAGATGAATAGATAAAAAAGTGGGTCTGGCGCGATAAACACCTGCAGCAGTATTTAAAAGTTCACCTTGTTGGGTACGTAATCATTGTTTAAGCAAGTATAGGCGATAAGAGGTTGAGATGTATAAAAATCAGAGTAAGCTATGACCCACATACATAAACCAAAAAATATGTTGTCTATGTATCTCACATACTTAATTGAATCAGCAATAAAGATAATTTCAAGAAGTCAAGCATGAACAAGCGATAAATGAAGGTTGAACGCGTTTTTTTCTGGGGAAGTGAAAGTGAAATTGTTGAAATTATTGCTGCGGTGGTTTTAAATAGATAATAAAGCAGCAAATTGTTATTAAAGATTTATTACTTAACTATTTGCTAATAATTAATTGATTTTGCATATAAATATTTGTAGTCAAAAAAGTCTTTCCGTATTTTTAATTAAACTTCAACTTATTTGTGTTTGGATTTATAATGAACTTTAATGAACCAAATACAATATGTACCATTTTTGACGACCTTGTTTTTTTTTGCATATTTCCGCTAGATACATTATTTCATCAGTGTAAAACTTTTCTGGTTTCTTTGCGAAAAACTGCGAAAACTCCCAGGCTTCTCTTGAAGCTAACTTTATTCCATTAAGGGAGTTCTGCATTGACCGGAACAAAAGGTAGTCCAATGGTATAAGGTCAGGGCTTTATGGTGGATGCATTAAAACTTTCCATCCAAGCTTTCCCAGTTTTTGCCGAGCCATCAAAGATGTGTGTGGTCTAGCGTTGCCTTGATGGAAGACGAAGCACTTTCTGTTGATCACTTTTGGCCGATTTTTTAGAATGCTTGTTTCATTCTCATCAGTTTTTGACAGTAAATATAGAATCAGTCGTTCGACCAGGCCGGGGCAGCCCATAGTGGATGACTCCTTTCTAATCCCACCTAACACTCAGCATAACCATATGAGTCGTCAATCCTAACTTTGCGACCATTTGTTGAGCATCACCACATTTGGACCAACGATCTTTCTCACACATTACTGACGTATTTGATCCACTATTCGTCTCCTGTTACCATTCGCTTCAGAAATGGTTCGATTTCATTTCGTTTCACCAAAGAATCGCAGATATTAATTCGGTCCATTAAATTTTTCACAGACAACTCATGTGGTACTCAAACATTGAGCGTATTTTTGTAGGCAGCCTTTTTTAAATTATTCAAAACCGTTTCATGATGAATGGTAAGTTCCCTAGCGATGTGATGGCTGCTTATGTGGCCGCCCTGGCCAATTTTTTCCATAATTTCATCGACTTTTTCAACGATAGGTCGACTAGAGCGTGGTGCATCTTTCACATCGAAATTTCCAGAACGGAAGTGAGCTAACCATTGTCGCGCTATACGAACTGATACAACATCGTTCACAAATTTCATTGTTGGCTTGCGTGGCACTCTTCCCTTTTTTAGACAAAAATTTCAAAGTATAGTGAATTTCTTCATTATTTGCACTCATTTTTGAACAGTTGTAACTTTTTTTCAATTTCCAAGAATTTAATTTGTTTTTGGTTAAATTGAGCTTAATATCTCATCCTTCCAACAATAGGTGTATAGTATGACATATATACGACTGCAACAGCATATATTAACAAAATACGAAATGACTTTTTCGACTACCTAATATTTCTGCATTTCAGTCTTCTTCATTAATTTAGTTAATTACTAAATTGTCTACTAATTGCATGCACTTTTTAATGAACGTAAGGCTTCAGTGCTAAACGGCTTTCAAGCGCTTAAAACAGCATAATTTATGTCGCATTACTGTATTTCAACCGTTGCTCTGCAATTATTTAAAATTATTCTTTGAGCTAAACTGTGCTAGATTAAATCCGTGGGAGCTGCTTTGGCTGCATGAAACTCGCTCTTTTCAATTTGTAATTTGAATAATAAAATTATTAATTTATTATTGCTTTTACGCGTTATTAGTTTAATAAATTAATTCTTATAATTGCTTAATCCAAACAATTTTTCGCACCTTAAGCCATAAAGTAGTCCACCGATTAATATGGTTTTAATATTTCAATTAAGAAGTAGAACAAGTATTTTGTTAGAATATTTCCTTAATAAATTATTATGAAAATAAGCTGTTTCTAATAAATAACAGTTTGTTAAAGTATGCGTGCATTAGGGGTGCTGTACTATATGTAAAGGAAATTAAGTATGTAGAGAAAATAGCAAACTGAATTATTCAACGAACAAGATTCTGTGGGTTGTGTGGATGAGTGATACTACATGATACTACATATTGTCAAGTTGACTTTGTGTTTTGGTAACAACCTTCATCGAGAAATGCTGCTAGCTCCTCATCTACAAACTTGTTTTACCGCCCAGGACTGTTCGTTTTCCAAACCAAAATCACCACTATTAAATCTAGCAACAAATTTTTGGCACGTTCGGTCAGAAAGATCACTTCTCATACTTTTCTCTACAAAAACACTTTTTCAGGTGTATTTCGAAAAAAATGGTGGTTGCTTCAAAAATGACATACATACAAGTCTATTGAAAAAGGCACATAAGGACAGTAGATTTCTAACGCATCTTTGGAATACTATAATTACGTTACGCCATATCTTGGCACAAAAATTCTTAGAGCTTAAATTTGGATATTTTTTGTTTGGAACTTTAGTAAAAGAAGTGCACATACTAACCCAACATAAAATTAGTGCCACCCTAAAGCGAAAATGTATGCAAAAAATTTTCATTTAACTTTGCATTAAACTCTCACTAGCAATAATTCAGCACCCGATTAAACAAATTCTATATTTCGTTTCGACAGTCATATGTGTATATTATGCATATTAGTAGACATTTATTTATTTAGAGTGGATTATATACATAGCATCGTGTGGCCTTTTAATCACCATATTTGACATGCACTAAATCAATACAAGGCGGCAAACCTTTTCCGCTCAAATATACAGAACTTTATGCATATGAATTAGCATAAACTAAGACGAAAGAGAAAAACCGTTAACTTCGATTGCACCTAAGATATAATATCCTTCACGAACAAAAAAGTTTTCCATAAAGCACTTGTGTTTGTTTAGTCAGTTTGTAGGAGATCTATACGCTTTAATAGCTCCATCCGAGTTATTTTTGAGGTGTGAGGATTGTCTTTGAATATAATCCATTTCGTGATAGTGGTGATATTTCGTGAAGATATCTTGCCAAATAAAGAAGTTTTCTATACAAAGACTTGAGTTTGAGCGATCAGTTCATATGACATGCTGCCGTGGTCCAATAGCAGCGATTCCACCCGCCCAAACAAAGTACAACTGGCATGGATGGGCAGAGAGATGGTCGCCCTGATTCCAATTCGTCTCGTCATCCTGATCATTTATATTTCTATCCCGATTAGTTTAAGGTGATACGTACAACAGTTAGGTGAACAAAACTATTAATTTCTGTAGCAACTGGTTGTAAGAGTATGCAAGTAATTGTTTTTTTGTTTTTAATTCTGTATTAAAGTCCCTAAAAATTAATTAAATAAACTCTCTAACAATTAAGGTTAAAAAGCCATTAACGGAGCTATGAAAAACGCTGATTTTAAGTACACACAAAACACAAAGAAGTGAATAACATTCCTTATATTATAGAAATAAGTGTTGCTAATTTAGAGAACGTGACCTTTAATATTTGAATTAGTTAATATGTGTATGAATAAGGGCCTTTATACGTTTCTTTGATTTGATAAACAGTGAAGAGTAGCAAATCGAACAAACTGGTATAAATATTTTATACTGGTATAATCAAATGCAGCTAGAATAACAGCCAGCATAACAATTACGTCACTTCATTGAAGTCCACATGCTCTCTTGTATTGAATTCAACTAGCTAATTGTTTTTACTTTCATAAGAAACATTTTTGATAAAAGATCAGACTATTTTTTTCCTTTTATTTATTTGTCTTTATTTTGGACACTCAACAATGCCAGAATATTTAATTTGATATTTCCGTCTCAATTTTCTGTGCCGTCACAATGCTCATCATTCCATCGTGAACTACTTGCCATTCCCAATGCCCAACGGACCATAAACCTTTCTCTCGAACCCGACCTATCAGATGACATCATTTTCCCTGCTTCTGCACCTTATACAGGAAGGGAATGTCGAAGGACTTGTAGAATTTGATCTTTGTTTGTCGAGAGATGGCTTTACTTTTCAATTACTGACTTGGTTCAAAGCCGAACTTGTAATGAATAATGTAATGGGGGATAGTCATTCTTCTGGGTAAGCAGTTACAGTCGTTGGGCTATACCCAATTCCTTATCTTGCGTCCTTGCCGCGCACCCTGGAAACGTGAGTGACCTTTGTGTAAGTTGTTGTAACCAAGCCGCGTGGAGCTTGGAGTCACGGCTAAAAGAGAGGAAGCTACAGGGGATCCACTCCGACATACATATTCGGTTTAAAGGTTCACTAAAGCCTAATTGCAGCGTCTGTTTACCAGAGGTGCGGCTGCGAGTGGGCGTCGATCTTGCCTTACAAACTAACCGACTAAAATCAAGTTCCTGCATGGAAACATTTTTTATTTGTGAAAGGTATTATTGCATCGGTGCAGCCGAAGTTACTCTCTTGCTTGTTCTTGTTTTTGTTTTACTACTGCTAAGTGTTCCTTTCCACCTCGTATATATTTTGTTTATTAGTTTAATGAGTAGACATGTTAAGTGCTAATATGTGTACAATGTACATATGTATGACTTCGTGGCGCGCACTTGTCTATTTATACTAATTTATACATTTGGACTAGTGGAATACAAGTGTCCATGCTTTATTTTTCTAACAAGTGGCAGCAATGACTCGGTGCGCGAACGCTATAACTTAATATAGGTACGTAACTTTGCAGTTGTTGTAATGCTTTACATACAAATTATGTTCTATGATTTTTTAGTTGTTCTTATTAGAGAATTTGTTGTTGATGTTTTTATAATTTTGCACAGTTTCTATTTTGACTACGATTTACATTTGATTATTGTTTATATTTGGCATTTAACAAGTTGGACGCTTGCGTGCCGCGACCATCGACTGCAAGTGTTCGGACGGCTAAGTGTGCAGGGTGCTGCATTAGAATGCCGATATGAAGTTATAAATATTAAAATCTATAAATGGGGCGCTAGTCTACGCACAGTCGCACAGCTCGAATGATTATTAATGAGTATTTGCACGTTATGAATGAGTTTCGTGCGTTCGGCGATGTCCATAGCGGTATTGTAATGCGGTGCAAAAAAGGCGCCGCTGCATGACTGGCCAATCAAAGTGACAGCTCGCTATTAGAGAACATGATATATGGGTGTACAGACAGTGTGTGAGTTTTGTATAATAAATGAGTTCAATTTAATGCAGAAATTAACAACAACAAACGGTCAACAACATATTATAAGTGACATATAATTGCTTATACTTTTCGCTAACTAAAACTGGACCTAACATTAATATTGTTCTACGCTTTTCGACTATATTGATTATGGGTAAATAGCGCTTACTCACCTGAGAATGATATAATTGTATTCACATCGACGGGTTGTACTGGTTCACCATCGGTGGAAATCACTGTCATCGTATGACCTTCAATTGTCACTTGAGCCGGGCACACGGATGCGAAAGCGTTAATCATACGGAAACGATAGCGGCGTCCTGGTGTAATGGTGAATATTTCGAGTGGTGTATTTGTCATGAAACCGGTATTGGGATCACGGAATTGTCCCTTGCCGTTAATTAGCACCGATTCGGGATCTTGACCGGTGTTGACAGCCAAACGACCGGGATAACGTTCGGCGGCATCTTCGTGCAACCAATCGCTAATCAACATAATGTGTGTGGTCAAATCGAAATCGTACATATGTGAGTTGGGATCACGTGATGGCGGCTGACGCACCACAATGCTGCCGTAAATACCGTCAAATTTTTGCAGACCATGATGAGAATGCCAAAAGTGTGTACCGGCATTACCAGTCCATTGATATCTGTTTAAATATTATTTTTACAATTATTTGATTTTAATTATTTAAAATTGTTTAGTTTTATTTTCTAATAAAATATTTTTAAATTTCAATTTATTATTAAAATATTATATAATTTAATTTTTTAAATTTTATTTTAATCTAATATTCTATATGTTTTTATATTTTTTTGTAAATCGCATATTTTAAATATTTGTTTGCTAATATTTTTGCCACTTGTTACCCACCTGAACGTGTTGCCTTGCTGTATGGGACACTGTGTCACGAATGGCACACCGTCATAGTACTGTGAGCCGCGCTGCCAAATGCCGTGCCAATGAATCGTTGTCTCCATACCTTCCATATGATTTTCCACATCGATAACAACTTTGTCATTCTCGCACACCTGTATGCTGGGGCCGGGTATCATACGGTTCACGGTGAGTATACCACGTTCAACACCATCGGCAAGCACGCATTGACAGTGACTCCACACGGTGTTGGTGGCATTCGGTGTGCACACCTGACAAGCGCTGCAATTAAAAAGACAAAAACAAATCGGTGTTTAGATAAAGTCACAAGCAGTCCGAAGATCTAGGTTTTTTTTATGATATTTTAATTTTGATGTATTACTTTTAATTTATTAAGTGCAAAAGGTATTTTTATACACTTGCGACATGTTGCTATAGAGTTTTGTTCACCTAAAACTAAGCGAGATAGATATTGGGTTATATATATAAATTATCAAATATTCAAACCCCTGGGTAGGGAATATTATTAGTAGCCTGTCCCTGTGCCGCAAATGGGTTGAATCGGGTCAAAAATTCCCTGAGTTCCCTTATACATACCTAATATAAAGACTTTTGAACTTCTGGGAGACTTTCTACCGTCAATATGTGAGTTTTTTTGAAAATCCGGTTGACTTCACTCCATACGATTGGTAATTGTTTCTCAGTTACTTTATTAAACCAGGTTTGTGGTATTGCCAAAAATTGATCAAATCGGGACAGGGAAGTAATTTCTTTGATATTTCTTTTCTTTGCAAGTTGCAATAGTATAAAATGTTCCGTTAGCCCTTCCTTAGTTGTCATATACATATATGTGAGTATATTCGTATTTCGTTAAGATTATTTTTATATTTTTCGTTTCTATCATATAGAAATGCAGTTCTATCGATCCTACATGTTATAATTTTGATACCAAAGATCAAAAAGTTAGGTTAAATAATGGATAAACACAAAGTACACACAATTGTCTGTTTCGCTATCCGAAAGTGATCTGTTCTTTAAGATATGTTGGTTATATATACACCTAAATGAAGCTTTTACTAATCATATCGAACTACAACCTCCTAAATTTAAATAAGATAACAATATGGTAGCTTTATCATCAATCGGTGTTTTTGGCCCAAGCATGAAAGGGGAAAAAAAGAAAATACAGTACGTTATCCAAAGCATAAGATTCCAATGTGTATTAAATGAGGGTTCTTAAATACATATGTGAATTATTCAATAACTCACTAGCAGAAAATATTAAAATATTACTCATTAATGTTAGCTGGCAAGACTGTTAATAAATATTATGCTGTTAAATAGCAGTATGCTAGTTTATATGCTGTTAAGTACACGTTTTTCAATAGCTGTTTTTGATTCAACATTTTTCTGTTCCCTACCATTGTTCGCAACTCTTTTGTCAAATATTTACAGTAAAAGTACAACAGACTGGTACTTGGTCGATATGGTGCTACCATGTTTCGATATACATACGGCAATTTACTCTCAAAAATTAAGATATAATATTAAATCTTTTTATTGATTTTAAAACTTGAAAAAAAAAATTGATTTATTTACGCGGAAAGAATAATATAGTATATGGTATATCAAAGAAAGAGGCCTAACATAATTGCGTATGCTTCAATGGACATGTTAGCGCAGGATTGCAACTAAAATGCTGCCAGTTATTTTAGCAACTGTTATTTCGATTCACGATCAGTTCGATTCAATATTCCCCAAAGCTTGATGTTTCGATATATTATGCTCTCAATAAAATTCTTCTTTGCTTATTTTCAATTCAGATCAAAGCAGATTTCCCTTGGCCTTTAAACACGAATTTCATCCTACACTACTGACCTACAAAACCCACACATATCGAAGCCACATACATATATGTAATGATTAACTATTAAGTTACCTAAGTTTGATATTTACTGTGTAAATAATTCGAGTAAAAGCGTGTTTACATAACCAAACATTTTTCAATATATTTAATATGGTAGAAAGCAAAACAAAACTAAGCAATGCTTTAAGAAAATTTTATTGCAACTGGCGCTGTTCCGTGTTTTTGTGCGCCAATAATTGTAATTAAATTGTTGAAAAACTTCTAGACCTCTGATTATGGCGTTTCATGCACCGCTGCGCAAACAATAAACTGGTTGTGCGTCTTACAGCAGAAAATTGAATTGAAAGTGGCGAAATTTGATTGAAAAAACCAGTTACTGCGTTTGCACACTGGGTGCAGGTGAATTAAATACAGAGACGGTAATGAAAAAGTACTCAATTTAACATTTTCCTAAGCTTTAATTTTTGCTTAGATAGTAACAAAAATATATATTTCTCATTTATGGTAATTGTGCAATATTTTTAGATATTTTAGTGTAACCTTGAACTATATATATTTTTTTTTTGCTAGATTAAATATAATATGTAATTTACTTAATGGAATCTAGAGCTAAAGCGCCAATTCGTGAATCACATTGACAGCTTTTGAGAGATTTGAGAAATTATTGATACATTTGGTGTACGTGGCTTTCAAATTTAAAGCAAATCTCAAAAAAGAAATGAGTTTAAGTTCAAAGTCAAGTTCAAGTCTCTGGCTGATTATCTTACTTCTATTTTTATTTAAATTTGAGCACATTATAATTACTGTTACTTCTAAATAAAATAGAAGTAAAAAAAAAAAAAAATAGCAACAATTAAAAGCCACATTTTTCATATAAATTCAGATAATATCTAACAAAATAGTGCGAATGCCTTTCAATTTTACGCTTGCGCGTTTGATATACTCGGGTTATTAATGACAAATTATTGCTTTTAAGAATCAATTAATAGGTGACCGATTTAATAACAACAAATCATTAATTCTCACACTAATTGCTATTGCGGTTATGTCGCCCGCATTGGAGGTATCAGACATGTATAGCTGTCAATTGTCGTCGTTGGTGTCATTTAAACTACCGTGGGAATTTTTACTTGTATGTTAAGGAAAATTTTTGTAATCATATGCATGCATATACATAGGCACTTCATATTTTTGTTTGTGGTACATGCTCAATGAGAAAAAAATTGCATATGAATAATTTTCAAAAATAGGCCATAGGATTAGGATTCCATTCACGGGTTATTTAAGATATTGTAGAAGTTACTCAGCTTCTAAATCGAAACTTCAATACCTTCGAGAAGTTTTTAGTGTAAAAGTATTTTTATCTTGAGTTGATTGGTTAGTTTGTACAGTGGCTATATCCTTTAGTGAACTAAACTTTCGGAAATTAACATATACCTTGAATAATCGGTTATGCCAAATTTTATGCAGGTAACTTGTCAAACAAAAAGTTGTCCATACAAGGACTTGAGTGTGTCCGATCTATTTGTATGACAGCTATATCTTGTGGATATCCTATATCGGCGTTTCTGTCAAATAACAAGCTTCTTGGTAGAAGATGTGTGTAAAATTTCAGAGCGCTATTTTCAAAAGAGAGGAGAGAGGCTAAAACGACTTGGATCATCACGATGATGACTTATGTATGTATTTACATTTTTTATAGAGTCTCCAACGTTTTCTTCTGGTTGCTACAGGTAACTAATATAACCTGTTCAGTGTATAATTAGTGAGTTTAGGTAAGCTTGCATCAAAATTTGATGACAAATTTGAGATGAGGAAAGTTCAGTTTACATCCTTTTATTTTATCTGGAAAAATACATTGATTTGGCATAAGATAGAACCATATAAGCTATTAGGTTAATCTTGTAAAGTGTTATTGAATATTTCTATTGTAAAAGAAGAAATTCATTTCAAAACTATTCACGAAGGCCGGTCCTACATATGTAATTTTCGGATATACTATATAACCGGTAAAAGGGTGCAACTTCAGCAATAATTTGTGAAACATTTTTTCTTCTTTTTATCTTTATCTTTATGTTTATCTTTATCTTTATCTTTATCTTTGTCTTTATCTTTATCTTTATCTTTATCTTTATCTTTATCTTTATCTTTATCTTTATCTTTATCTTTATCTTTATCTTTATCTTTATCTTTATCTTTATCT